AATAAATTTTAAAAAATCATAATATTTATTGCATGGCTAATCGTTGACATTCTTAAAGTGATCAATTATTAATTATAAATATGATACATTGGAGTAAGTAAGGGGAGCATATCTTATTCTCATGCTATGAGAACATAAAAAAATTGGGGAAGAGGAAAAAAGAATCCTGGGCAGAGTTTGGAACATGGAATGATCCTGAGTAGAGAGGAGAATTGCCCAGTACTCTTTTCCCCTCCTGCCCTGCATTTATTGAATGTAGATTAGCTCAATTAACTCAGAGTACAATCCTGAATCTAATCAAATCTCTAGAATTTTTTTTTTTTTTTTTCTTGGTGACTGGCCAGTACAGAGATTGAACCCTGGACCTTGGTGTTATCAGCACCACATTCTAACTGAGCTAACTGGCCAGCCCCTTAGATCTAACTATTAATTTACAGGAAATGCAAAGTACTAAGGGACGTGTTAAATGACACCATAGGTCCATGGAGACAGAAAGCAGATTAGTGGTTGCCAAGGGCTGGGGGAGGGGCAAATGGGGAGTAACTTTAAAGGGGACTAGTTTCTTTTTGGAATGGTGAAAAAATTCTGGAATTAGATAGTGGTGATGGTGGCACAATATTGTGACTGTGTTAAAAAACCACCAAATAAAGGCCGGCCTGTGGCTCACTTGGGAGAGCGTGGTGCTGACAACACCAAGTCAATGGTTAAGATCCCGTTACCGGTCATCTTTAAAAAAACAAACAAACAAACAAACAAACAAACACCAAATAAATGTACATCTTAAAATGGTTAAAATGGTAAATTTTATCTCGAATTTAAAAAAAAAAAATGACACCATAGAGATGCCACTGGCAAAATTCAGACTGAAAAACTACAATATAAATGATGCATGCATTGCTTTTTTTTTTTAAATTTCCTGAAGTTCTAAAGACAGATGCTTTTTCTAAGAAAGGGCAAGAAAAAAGAGATAGAAGGAGAATCTATGTTAAAAGAGACTGGAGAGACACATCAACCAGTTGGAATTAGTGAACTGTGTTTGGATACTGATTTAAACAAATCAGTAAAAAATTTTATAAAGCAATCAGGGAAATGTGAGCATTGGCTAGGTGGAATTACTGCTCANTGTACTGGTTAGCCACAAAAAAATTTTCAAAACCCAGACATATTCCAGCTATAAAAATTTTTGTTTGCCCCTCTTTTTTCATTGCTTTTTTTTTTAAATTTCCTGAAGTTCTAAAGACAGATGCTTTTTCTAAGAAAGGGCAAGAAAAAAGAGATAAAAGGAGAATCTATGTTAAAAGAGACTGGAGAGACACATCAACCAGTTGGAATTAGTGAACTGTGTTTGGATACTGATTTAAAAAATTTTATAAAGCAATCAGGGAAATGTGAGCATTGGCTAGGTGGAATTACTGCTCATTTCTTTAGGCGTGATAATAGTACTAAAGTGATGTTACAAAAAACGTGTGTATTTTAGAGGTGCATACAAAAATATTTATAGCTGGAATATGTCTGGGATTTGCAAATTATTTTGTGGCTAACCAGTACAGTGATCAAACCCTGGACTTGGTGTTATCAACACCACACACTCTAACCAACTGAATTAACCACCCAGCCCTGGGACTTACAGATTATTTTGGGGGTGGGGTTGGGGAGCAGCTGACTGGTGTAGGGATCTGAACCCTTGACCTTGGTGTTACAGGGCTGTGCTCTATCCAACTGAGCTAACCAGCCAGCCCTGCAAAGTCTATTAGTCTGTTTTCTGTTGCTTATACCGAATACCTGAAACTGGGTAATTTCTAAGAAAATGAAATTTATTTTTTACAGTTTTGGAGGCTGGGAAGTCCGAGGTTCAGGGGTACATTTGGTCAGGACCTCTTGGTGGGAACTCTCTACAGAGTCCTCTAGCAATGCAGGGTGTCGCATGACAAGAATAGCAAGAGCCTTTTCATCTGCTCTCCTTATAAAGCCACCACTCAGGGGGGCTGGCCAGTTAGATCAGTTGGTTAGAGTGTGGTGCTGGTAACACCAAGGTCAAGGGTTTGATCCCTCTACTGACAACCCCTCCCCCCAAAAAGCTACTGATCCACACCCATGATAACCCATTAATCCATTAACCCATTAATGGATTAATCCATTCATGAGGGCAGGGTCCTCATGATCCAATTACCTCCTAAAGGCCCCACCTTTCAACACTGCCACATTGGGGATCCATCTTCCATAGGAGCTTTGGAGGGGACATTCAACCCACAGCACAAATTGATGGGGATTAGGGAGTATACATAAAACCAAACTGGTCTGTTGAAGCTGGGTGATGAGCAAATGAGGGTTCATTAAACCATTCTCTTCGTGTTTATATATGTTTAAATTTTTTCTTAATAAAACATTCTTTTTAATTTTTGTCCCAATTTTACTGACAATAAAACTTTTTTTTTCTTTTTTGTCCTTTTTTTTTGAGATTGGCCGCACCGCGCTCAGCCAGTGAGCGCACTGGTCATCCCTATATAGGATCCGAACCCACAGCGGGAGCACTGCTGCGCTCCCAGCACCGCACTCTCCCGAGTGTGCCATGGGCTCGGCCCGACAATAAAACTTTTTTTTTCTTTTTTTTTTTTTTTGTCTTTTTTTGAGATTGGCCGCACCGCGCTCAGCCAGTGAGCGCACCGGTCATCCCTATATAGGATCCGAACCCACAGCGGGAGCACTGCTGCGCTCCCAGCACCGCACTCTCCCGAGTGTGCCATGGGCTCGGCCCGACAATAAAACTTTTAAAAAAATTTTTTTATCTTTTTGTTTCTCTCTTTTTTATATACATAATAAGACATTTTTTAATTTTGGTTTACTTCTTCCCAGTCCTTTATTTTTTACTGGCAGCTGGCTGGTACTGGGATCCAATCCTTGACCTTGGTGTAATCAGCACTGCGCTCTAACCAACTGAGCTAACTGGCCTGCCCCCAGTCTTTTATTTGGGCACTTTATGCACATCTTAGAACTTTCTGGCTCGTAGTAGGTATTCGATAAACATTGGGAGAGGCCCTGTAACTTAGTGGTCACACACACACAGCTCTGGGTTTGAAACCTGCTTGCACCTTACTAATTGTGGCACCTTGGGTGAGTCATTTAACTTCTGTTCCCCATCTGTAAAATGGGGCAGGTATATTATGCCCAGTCTCTAGGGTATATTATGCCCACCAAATAATGATGTGTAAGAGACAACACAGTTCCTAAAAAAGTAAACATAGAGTTACCATATGACCCAGCAATTCCACTTCTGGAAGTATACTCAAAAGAACTGAAAGCAGGGATCAGACAAACTTTCCTACACCCATGTTCACAGCAACATTGTTCACAATAACCAAAAGGTAGAAGCAACCCAAGTATCCATCAATGGATGAACGAATAAAATGTGGTATATTCATACAGTGGGATATTATTCAGCTTTAAAAAGGAAGGGAATCCTGATATGTGCTACAGTGCAGATAAAACTGGAGGTCATTGTGCTCAGTGAAATAAGCCAGTCACAAAAAGACAAATACTGTGTGATACTCATAGGAGGTCCCTAGAGTTGTCAGATTCATAGAGACAGTAGAATGGGGGGTGCCAGGGGCTGGGGGAGGGGATGGGGAGTGAGTGTTTAATGGGGACAGAGTTTCAGTTTGGGAAGATGAGAAAGTTCTGGAGATGGTGGTGATGATTGCACAACAATGTAAATGTACTTAATGCCACTGAAATATACACTTGAACATGGTTAAGATGAAAAAAAAAAGGTTAAGATGGTTAATTTTAGGTTATGTATATTTTATCACAATTATAAAAGATTTAAGAACAGGGCCTGGCCCAGAGTGAGCAAGATGTGCTTATTAAATCCCTGAAATTAGAGGAATTAAAATAGTATCCCTGGCCTGTGACTCCTAAGGGGAAAGTCAGTCCCTGCCCCGTGCCTGGCAAACAGCAGAGGCTCCAGAAATATGTTGGCCTTTCAGCTGCTTGAAACCCTCCGGGATACCTCACTGCTTCACCCAGCTCCCCTGAAGCCTCTGTCCACCACACACCCACCCTGCCCTAACCCCAGGAGTCAGTGCCCCCAGGGTCTATGTGAACGAGGCCCTGGAGCGTGCGTTGCCTGGTTGCCCACTTGTGCCCATCATAAGCCATGTCCAGGTTGCTCCCTTGGTCTGGAGCACACACCCTGGCTCACTGCCACTCCCATCTGAACAACCCCCACAGCTCAGCGATCTTGTGGACGGATGTGTCTGGGATTGCCCACCCCTCCAGGCAGGGTGGCCAGAGACTGGCATCAAGAGGGAGTGGGCCCTGGGGTGTCCAGGGCATGAGGGGCCTCTTCAGCCAGAAGCTGGAGCTTCTAGGACAGCTGCCAGTACTCAGGTGATAGGGGACACACACCAGGTCAGGAGGTCACTGCAGGGGTGGGTTGAGGGCACACCTCCGGCTCAGGCCACACAGACAAGGGAGAAGCTGGGCCGGGAAGAGGCAGAGGAACCCTGGGACCCCAACTTTGCCTGCCACCAGTGTTCCCCCACTGGGCCCTCCTCAAATGTCAGTCTGGGATGGGGCTGGTAAGCTCCCCCTTGCTATCCCCACCAGGGGGCGCCTTTGGGCTCTCAGGGTGGTGGGTCTTATGGCCAGGGGTCCAATGTCAAGGGCATCCCCTGGGCAACAGCCTTCCCTCCTTCTCTGCCAACAGGGGTAGCTTGGAGAGAGCCAACCCCACCCCTCCCCACCCTGGGACCCCCCATGGCCACATAGTGACATGTACAAGGCCTGCTGGGTCAGCTCAGGGGGCCTCCACATTCCCCACCACAGGTGCTAGGGCCACAGTCCCCCAGGGCTCCGGCCTGGCCTTCTAGCTCCTCATGGGGCTGAGCCAGGGGGGTCTGGCCTGCTGTGGGGGATGTGCAGCAAGGAGCCTCGGCTCAGGAGTGGCCTGCTGGCAGACAGAAAGAAGACAGAGGCGCAGCGGCAGGTTTCTGTACAGGAAGTCGGATTATACATTTTAGTAACGGGTGTGAGAGAAGGCATGGGGCAAAGTGCAGGGGCCACAGGGAGAATAAGAGATCGAGAGCTAGGGTTTGGCGTAAATCTTACAAAGTGTATAAAGAATCTGTGTTTCTCTACAATAACAAAAACCAAAGGCTACAAGAGCAGTTGTATATACAAAACACAGAGATACTGCTTCACTTGCAAACAGGATCCGGACCAGACAGGGAGACAAGACAGAGGAGGGGGACAAGGAGGGGGAGAGAGCGCGCTGCGTGCAAAACAGGGCGAGACGGGGAGAGGGTTCTTCTCCCAGCATCAATCACAGGCGGCAGCTGGAGCGGCACACGCACGGGAGAGGTGGAAGGCCTGTGCGGTGCTGGCTGTGCGTGGAGGAGCAGGCGGGATGCCCAGAGCCAAGAGTGTGTCCGCCTGCCTGCCATGGCCCCTGCTGCCTGGCTCTGTGGGCTTCACCCCGGAGCGGGGTTCTGGGTTGGGATGAGGGGCCGGCGTGGCCAACTGGCCAGGAAGGGAGGGGGGGATTGCTCTCCAGAGTCTGCAGTGGAAAACAGGAGAAGCCGGCTCCGTCTGCCCATCCTCCTTGCCTCTGGCCGGCCCGGTCCATCCTGCCACCCTCCCTACCCTACCACAATGCCCTCAGAGACCCAACGAGAGCAGGTGCAGCAAGCGAGGGCTTCTAGCTTTCCTCAGGCAGGACGGCAGGTGCCCCTAGACTCCTGATCTTCCTGGGCCTGGACCGGCCATGCGGAGCTCACTGGGAGCAAGCCAGTCACACAGGGACCAAGGGGAGGGGCTAGGAGGACACTGGTGAGGGTAGGCTGAGGACAAGGACGTGCACGCACGCTGGGATGGAGGCGCGGGGTGGTCACAGGTTCTGGCAGCACTGCAGCTTGCTGGGCTTCTGTCCATCGGTGGTGGGCGGCACGCTGATGTCCACCACATTATTGCCAGGGGACTCATCGTGGGCTGCACGGTCTGCAATCTGCTTCTGTGACACAATGCGGTAGATCTCTGCAAATGGGAGAACATGGGGTGAGTGAGCTGTGTGCCCCCGCCCACGGGGACTGCCTCCCTCTAGGACTGGAGCTGGATGTCACCTCCCTGGGAGCACCCTAGATCCTGAGTCCAGGGCCCCTCCCCAAGGCTCCCATCACATAAAGGGTAACAATGTCTGGGGCCGAGTTCCTGGGGGCTCTCCCCCCACACCACTCAATCAGTGGTGTGCCATGCACTCAGTAAGGGCAGGACCCACATCTGGTCACAGTCACATAAAGGGTAACAATGTCTGGGGCCGAGTTCCTGGGGGCTCTCCCCCCACACCACTCATTCAGTGGTGTGCCATGCACTCAGTAAGGGCAGGACCCACATCTGGTCACAAACAGTCCAATCATCTTGTCCCCTGAGATCAGAGCCTCCACCTCCCTCAGAAGTAAACTTCTGGAAGCCAAGGGGCTCTGGGCCCCTGAGGCCACCTGTCTCCCCCACTGCCCTAACCTGGCTGTTCTGCAGTGGAGCCCAGGAAGGGCCCACCCATGGGAGCTTGGGCAAGGGGTCTCCGGGTCGCACAGGCCATAAGGGCTGGATCTGGCCTGACCCATGAGGCATGCCATGTCTGTCCTCATGTCCAGACTGCCCGACAGGTTTAACAAATGAACGTTCGGGACTGCATGCCGATCTGCATGGCTGGTGCCCTCCCCACGCCCACCCAGGCCCTGCGACCACCTGTGAGGATGTTCTTGAAAGCTTCCTCTACATTGGTTGAATCCAAGGCTGAGGTCTCAATGAAGGACAAATTGTTCTTTTCTGGAATAGAAAGAACATTGCCTGGTGAGCAGGGAAGGAGATGGGAGCGGCTTGGCCTGGCCCAGGTCATGAAGGGCTGGTGGTGAGCAGGCAGGACCTGCTCAGGGAGGGGACCTCCTCAGGAAGGGGAGGTTGGTGCTGCGGCCATGGGCCCCAACACCTCCCCACCGGCCTTCCAAATGCTTCTCTGATGCCTCTGGCACAGTCCCACTTTCAGGGAGTGGCCCTGGCATGCCCCGGCAGGCCTGGCCTGAGCTCACCTGCGAAGGCGCGGGCCTCGTCAGTGGGCACAGCCCGCAGATGGCGCAGGTCACTCTTGTTGCCCACCAGCATGATGACAATGTTGCTGTCCGCATGGTCCCGCAGCTCCTTCAGCCAGCGCTCCACGTTCTCATAGGTCAGGTGCTTGGCAATGTCATACACCAGCAGGGCGCCCACCGCACCACGGTAGTACCTATGGGACGGTCCAGGGTGAGCCTCTCTGGCTCCTCGGCCCACACACAGGGAGGAACGCATAAGGCCCAGCCAAGGGGCACCATGGTGGGCTCAAGGGAAGGCTGCGTGTCCTGAGGCCCCAGCTCTGCTCCCAGATCCAGCTCAGGAATGTGGGGGCCTGGGGTTAGGAGACACCATGAGGTCATCAGAAAGAGGGGAGAAGGAAGCAGGAGCCATGCAGAAAAAAGGCCACTGCTGGGCAGAACCTCCAACACCCACCATGCAGCGCCAGGCCTGGACCACCAAGGAGATGGATGGACACATCTCCACCCGCGGGATGAAGGCGATGGGGAGGGGAGCAGGCCATGGTGGAGGGAGGCCAGGGGACAGCAAGATGATGGGGTAACGGAGTGGTGGGGAACAGCCAAGGGGAGGCATGGGTGGGCCAGGCCTGGGTGGGAGGACAGGATGGGTGTGGGGCAAGGTGTGAGCTGCAGCTCAGAGGGGAGCTGGGGAAGAGGCAGGATGGGAAGTTGGCCAGGCAGGGCTGGTCTGAGTGGGCAGGGCTGGGGCGGGGGCAGAGTGGAATGGCCCAAGCCAGGCTGTTGCTGTGTAGCCAGCACCCAGCAATACCACAGTGCCCTGGTGTGGCTAGTGGTGGGTGCTGGTCTGTCTGAGGGTCCACAGCTCCTGGGGGCCTCTGAGGGTGGTAGCCAGGGTATTCCTCCACTCCCTGCTCTTGGCAGCATGCTCTCCCCTTCTCCTGCCCAGACTCCTACACATCCTTCTAGGCCCACCTGCCACCCCCTCCCCCCAACTCCCTGCATCACAGTGTCCCCATGGCCCAACACGCACGCAGAGGTGATGGCGCGGTAGCGCTCCTGGCCGGCTGTGTCCCATATCTGTGCCTTGATGGTTTTGCCGTCCACCTGGATGCTGCGGGTGGCAAACTCCACGCCGATGGTGCTCTTGCTCTCCAGGTTGAACTCATTGCGGGTGAAGCGAGATAGCAGGTTGCTCTTGCCCACGCCCGAGTCTCCGATGAGCACCACTTGGGGGATGGGGAAGGAGGAGAGGTGAGGATCTGTGAGTCCCCATGCGTCACCCATGTCCACGCACAGGACCTTCAAAGTGGCTCCCTGGGCACTGCACAAGCATGGCAGCGAACGACGTGGAGGAGGAGGAGCTGCCTGCAGCCCCTTGACTGCAGGCACCATGCTGACTGGTGCAGAAACAAACAGAAGCTCGAGTCTTCCAGAAACAGCCATTGCAGATGGCACAAAACCCCTGCCTGTCTCTGGTCTTCAGAGCAGGGCTGTCCCACCTGGGGCACTGAGACCAGACATCCCAGCACCTGCAGCTTAGTAGTTGGGCAGCCCGTGTGGCCCAAGAAAGCTCCAGAGGTGGGTGACATTGGGCAAGTCACTTAACCTCTCTGGGCCACCTTTTCTGCATGTTTGAACAGGGACCAGATGGCACAAAACCCCTGCCTGTCTCTGGTCTTCAGAGCAGGGCTGTCCCACCTGGGGCATTGAGACCAGACATCCCAGCACCTGCAGCCTAGTAGCTGGGCAGCCCGTGTGGCCCAAGAAAGCTCCAGAGCTGGGTGACATTGGGCAAGTCACTTAACCTCTCTGGGCCACCTTTTCTGCATGTGTGAACAGGGAGGCAGTGACAGGAGTCATCTCGGCAGGGCGGAGTGAGAACATGTGGGGTCAGGACCCAGCCAGCATGCTGCAGACAGGGACGGACACGGGTGAGCAGTAGTCCTTATTACTATTGTGGTTTTGCTCAGGGCGTGGGGAAGGTCAAGTTTCTCTCAGATTCTTGCCTATGAGGGTCTGTGTCTGGTGTTTTAAGTAACAGGAAATGATAAGCCACCCCCCAACTCATGCCCACATCCCTCCAGCTGCTGCAGGCAAATCCACATTCAGCTCTGGCACAGACTTTTCCATGAACTGTGTCCTCTGGACATAGCCCAGAAGGGACAGAGCCTGTTGCCACCTCTCACTAACCCCGCCCCCAGGGTGGGGACTGCCCTGTTGAGCAGCATCATGCTCCTAGCCAAGTCCAAGGGGAGGTCTGGGTGGCTGTTTGCATGCACATCCCCACAGGGTTCATACACAGGTGTGCTCAGCCTCCCTCAGCCCCCACCAAGAGCTGGCCTCAATGGCAGGAGAGAGAAGGTCTCCACCCAGCCCAGCCCAGGCCACGCCTGCCCATGGGCCAGAGCAGCTCAGAAGGATGCAAAACCATGCCCAGAAGGGGAGTCAGGGCAACGTGGCTGGGAGGGAGATAGGGATGGTGACAACAGCTCCCCAGTAAACAGGGGGTGGGTGGTAGGACAGCCCCGTGCCAGTAAAGGGATATTGGGAACACAAGAGCCCTCTGAGCAGAGCAGACACGGGCTGGGCAGGCTGGGGGGTATCCTGCCCTGTAAAGCGTTTTCTGCCCCAGCCATGGAAGTGCTGTGTGTAGCGGCTCGGCTGCCCTAGTCTTTGGGGTGGAGCTGTGTGAGATGGTCCAGGAGGGGCTTGGGAGGGCTGTCCTCACACCCGGGATGTACAGTGCCAGGGGAGATTGGTGTGTGTGCACATGTAGGTGCCTGCAGCGCAGATGAAATAATAGGTGGTGGCTATCTGACCAGACGCCCCAGCCAGAACCCAAAGGATCTCTGAGCGTGGTCTTTGGGCTGGCACCTGAGGGTGGGTCTGCTCAGAGGAGAGCCATGGGAGACTGCAGGCTTGGTCACCCAAGACCCTGAGGAGTAGGAGTGAGGCGTCCACCCAAGGTTAGGCTTGAATGGTCTGGGCAGAGATGGGTATGGCTGGGCCTGGAGTGAGGCTGAGTTCGCTGGCCCTCCTGACTTGGTGAGGTGCAGGCAGCCAGGCTGAGCCCTCAGGAGAGACCCAGAGCCAGCCAGTCAGGCCTGACTGACACAGAGGACCCAGGCAACACCCAGGAGTTCTGCCCCATTGAGCAAGCAGGGCCCAGAGCCCACCAGGCAGCCCTCCCCTCCCCTTCCCTTGACCACACTGTGCTGCTGTGCCAACATGCTTGGGTTTCTCCCTCCTGAAAAGATCTGCTCCTGGGCCGGCCCGGTGGCGCACTGCTACAGTGCGCTGCTTGCGAGCGCGGTGACGCTCCTGCCGAGGGTTCGGATCCCACATACAGACCGGCCGCTCACTGGCTGAGCGAGGTGTGGGTGCAACACCGACGGGTGCGATCCCGTTGCCGGTTCCGGTCCGGTACGGGCGCGACACTGAGGGTTGCGATCCGTTGCCAGACACGAAAAAAGACAAAAAGGAAAAAAAAAAAAGATCTGCTCCTGGCAAATGCTCCGATTCCATTTCTAGATTCCCAAACCCCTAGAAGGTACTGTCTATGCTCAGTCTCCACCTCCTGTCCTCCCAGCCCCTTTAGAACCCAAACTGAGCACACATGAGACCCCACCTCTGCACTGACTCCACCAACCTTCAACTCTCGCACCCAGCACAACAGAGCTAAGCTCCTGATCTACTCCCTAAACCTGTGCACCACCCCCCACCCCCACCCTCCTTCTCTCAGTCCTTCCAGGTGCTCAGACCAAAAAGCTGGAGTCATCCATAATTCCCTCCTTTCTCTCACACCCAGGGCCAATCCTCCAGCACCTTCCAAACAGATCCAGTCAGCTGCCAAAACAAAACAACACAAAAATAAAAACAAAAAACAGATCCAGGAGAAGGGAGGCTAAGGGGTGTTCTGGGGGTTGGTAATGTTTCTTGATTCACACATGGGTTACACAAGGGGGTTCAGTTGGTGAAAATTCCTCAACCTGGGCCGGCCCGTGGCTCACTCGGAAGAGTGCGGTGCTGATAACACCAAGGCCCCGGGTTCGGATCCCATATAGGGATGGCCGGTTTGCTCACTGGCTGAGCGTAGTGCTTACAACACTAAGTCAAGGGTTAAGATCCACTTATCGGTCATCTTTAAAAAAAAAAAAATATATATATATATATATATTCCTCAACCTATATATACTTATATGTGTACTTTTCTGACGGAAGGCAATTCTTTGATGAAAACTTAAGTGTGTGTGTGCGTGTGCGTCTCCAGACTGCTGCCACATCTCACCGTTTTCACTGCTCCCACCCTGGTCCAGGCCATCACCATTTCACATCCCTGGGTTACTTCATCAGCATCCTCCCTTGTCCATTCTCATCCCCAACCAAAAGCCTGTTCTCCTCACAGCCACCAGAGGGCGCCTGGGAGCATCTGAGACCAGTCCTGCTCCTCCTCTGCCCACAGCCCTCCATGGCTCCCACCTCCCTCGGGGTAAAGTCTCAAGGCCTCCCCAAGACCCAGAAGGCCCTGCAAGACCTGCCCGACGTCTCCTCCCTGCCCGTCCCCCTTCCTCTCCCCGCCTCGCCTGCTCTGCTCTGGCCACATGAGCCTCCTCACTGGGACTCAGAGATATGCCAGGTTCTTGCTGCCCTCTGCCTGGGAGGCTCTTCCACAGGCACCCTCCTGGCTCCCTCCCTCATCTCCTTCCTGTGGTCCCTCAGATGCCACCTGGTCAAGGAGGCCTTCCCTGCTACTAAAACCCCACTGCCCCCACCCCTCCCTATTCCCCGTCCCATCTCTTCCTCCACAGCCCTTGCCACCCTCTCACATTGCCAGGTTTCACTCATTTATTTTTTGCCAGTCTGCCACAAGGTTGGGAATTTCAGATCATCTTATTCCCTGCTGTGTCCCTGGGCCCTGCCACAGTGCATGGCACGCAGTAAGCAACTCGCAAATGTCTGTCCACTGAACAAACTCCGACGTGGCTGGCAGAGCCTCCAGGCCCACCTAGCCCCGCCCCACACACACACCAAGAAGATGCCCAGATCACCACCCTTGGGCTACAGGTGAAGAAGACAGATCAGGCAGCCCCCACAACCTGACTCAGCACCCACTTCCAGACTGGCTGCTTTAGAGTCAAAAATAATAACAAGAACAAAAAGAACATTTAGGGGCCGGCCCAGTGGCACACTGGAGAGTGTGCCGCTTGGGAGCGTGGTGGCACTCCCGCCGAGGGTTCGGATCCCATGTGGTGACCGGTTCCCGCTCACTGGCTGAGCATGGCGCGGGCGCAACACTGAGGGTTGCGATCCCGTTGCCGGCCAGTAAAAAAGACAAAAAGGAAAAAAAAAAAAAAAAAGAACATTTAAGAAGCCTGTGTTGAGAAAGTTCTTCATCACCTCACACAAGCCTCATGTAGCCTGTTATACAGATGAGGAAACTGAGGCTCAGACGGGGAATGACAAGCCCAAGGCACACCAGCAGTGGTGGCAGAGCAGGGATCTGAGCCTGTGTATGTGTTCAGGTGCGACGCAACCTCACAACCACACCTACCAAGCAGTGACATGTCCGGGACCACCACCTGGGAAGTGGTCCAGGCATGATCTGAACCAAGGTCTTCTGAGTCTAGGGCCTGAGTTCTTTCCCTCCCAACTCACAGTCTTGCCCGCTGTCCCCTACCCACCCCCACCCCTCAGCACATGGCTCAGGGGTCTTGGTTCCGCCTCACGTGGGGCACTGAGGCACCCCAGCTTGCCCACCTCTCCAGCTCCCACCACCTAGAGCGTCCTGTCCCCCTGGCACAGCCAGCAAACCCCTGCTCTTCCTTCAAGACCTCCCAGTTCAGGCCTCTTCCTCTGCCCCCAGACCACCACAAGGCCCATGATGACAGCGCCAGCATCCTCTCATGATGCCATGGGTGTCCAGCACAAGACTGCCAAGTTGACCTCCATGGAAGATGGAAAGTGGTCCATGAGCCTGTGGCCCAGGACCAGGGACTCCCAACCATACTGGTGGGGACAAGAATTGGTTCCCAGACCACACAGAGCCAGGTTGGACTGAGTGTGGGGACACCACCAACCTTCCACCTCCCTCCCCCGACAGCCCCAGGGGCATGGACAAGCCCCATGAGGTTTGATCACAGTTCTTGCATCCTCAGGAATGGAACAGAAAACTCAGGTCCTGCCCGGGCATCCCCCCAAACCCTCTCTTACTTCCCAGCTTTGCTCAGTTGTACAGTCTTGGGGTCCCCTCAGCCCTACTGATTCTGCCCTGGCCTGGCCACAACCTCCTCAGCACCTCGGGCCAGGCCCAGTCCTAAATGCTGCAGGCCTCAGTGTATCACGTTCTCAAGGCCACTCCAGAGGCCCATGTAAATATTATTGTTCTTACGGCA